ATACCCGGGCGGGGAAGCGAGCTGTGAACCGCTGTCGCCTGCCGTGATTTATGAGCCCGTGGCAGCGGCCAGCGGTGGGGCTGGCCCGGGGACAAGGTGCCAGGGCGCGTGCAATATCCACGTATTCTTTCTCCTCCTCGCCGGGTCCCCGGGGAACCGCCAGAGGAAGCTAATGGATTAGACACACACGTTCCACTTGATTTTTATTTTTTATTGCCGTGTCTTTCCAAACGCCTTTAGCAGACGCGCGAGCACAATGGGGCTGGGCGGTGAGCATCCCGGCTGGGCGGGCAGCGGGGCAGCAGCCTGCCTGGAAAGGTCAATGCAGAGAGCGTTTGCTCTGGGACATGGGGACAGCCTGTCCTGAGCGGGTATCATCCTTCCCTGCCGGGGAGGGCTCACAGGGGCCGTGCTCAGCACCGGCTCGGCGCCGCGGAGGGGCAGAATTAAGGTGACTCCAGCTCCTCTGCAGCCGGTGCTGACCAACAGCCTCGGGGCATCGCAGCACCTTGCCCACGGGCTTATCGGCACCCGCCAGAGGCAGCTGGTGCTGAGCAGGTCCCTTGCCATCCCTGGAGCTGTAATGTCCTTCCTGGCGGGCTCACAGGTGTGAAAGCGGCCGGTTTCGCTCCCGGGCCCACGCTCCTACCATGCTGCATTATGCAATCCTCACCCGATACTGGGAATATGAAATAATTATTCCAAGTGATCAGATTTTAATTATGCAACACAGAGGATGATTATTGTGCGCCAAATTGGTGCCGAGTGCTTAGTTATGTATATGCCAAATTTAGTCTATACTATTATACCCAGTGGGTGGCCGTAGACAATCAGGAAGTAATTAGTTTTGCTGGAGGTTGTTCGCCTGCCTGGTTCGCTGTGCTGTCTGGGGAGCGTCTTGCTGCGCTCTGTGAATACCGCAGGCTTTGAGTTCAATACCGTCTTTTTGTGACAAGCTAATAAGCTGTCTGCATGGCGGCCTGTAATTAGCGCTGTCGATATTCATTTGGAAATGGAGACCGCGCTGAGAAGCTCCACCGACAGCGCTTCCCTTTGTTGAGGCTCTCGATGGGTCCCTCCTCGCCTCCGAGGAGCGGTGATGGGCACGGAGGGATGGGCATGGGGCCGGGTGCCGGGTACGCTTGGGTGTATGCAGCACCCTCGGGTCCCCACCAAGGAAAGCACCCAGCCATGAGGGAGTTGAGCCCCCAAGACTGAAACCTGCCCCCCACCCACCCCTGTGCCAGCCTGGCCCCATCCCTCATGGGGGAACTGCCGCTGGCCCCGGGTGTGGGGTGTCCCCAGGTGCCCTGTCCTGTGGCACTGGCCGGGAAGGCTGAGTCGGTGTGGGGACCGCCATGTAGGGGAGATGGGGATGTGCAGGGGCTTTGGCTGGGGTGGCTGTCCCCTCCCCAGAGCCGTGGGCTGCTCTCCCCCGGGAGCCCCGAGCATCGCCGCAGGGTGCTGAGGTGCTGCGTGGTTGCACCTTTCCAAGGCAGCCTGATCCTGCGGGGTCCGGGCTCGTCTGTTGGGGCCTCACATGCAGAATTGCTGGAGGGCCTGGGGCTATGTTGCCTGGGAGGTCACTGGGCCACCGGGGTGTCTCCCCCCCGGGATGCTGTCTGCAGCCGGTCAGTGTCGTGGGGCACTGGGAACTGGCCGCCTCCACGGGAATGGCCCGGATCTACTGGGTGGGAATTGTCTGAAGTACGGAGCAACTTTTACCTCTGTTACACAAAGGAAACTTTCCTCCTCTTTTTGTTGGAGATGCTCACTCCATTGAGATGATTGGCATACTGGAGAGCTGAGAAACTAAATTGTTTATACACTAATGAATAGAAGCTTGATTGCAAGATCCTGTTTGGAAAATTATAGTGCTGAATTGAAGCCGTACAATTACATCCAAAATGCTGCATATTCATTTCATCTGCTTTGCATAGAGATTAACAAGCAAGCCCTAAAGCAGACTCTGAAATTAAAGCTAACACCAGATTTAGTCACAGGTTACAAACTAAATGGCATTGTTTGATGGATATGAATCTTTACCACCTGCCTGCCTGATGATTGCTAGCAGCTTACCAGACAGCAAAGGAAAAAGTTTCTTCCCATGAAGGAAGCATAATAAGACGCTGGGCTGGAAGTGCCCCCTCCCTGCGCGGGCGGCCCCCCCAGGCAGATGTCTGCAGTGGGCCTGGGGAAGGGGCTCCCGGCTCCGTCACGCTGGAGGCTGCACCCGGTCTGTGGAGGGATGGAGAGTGGCCCCGAGACCCCTGTGGAGGTCCCGGGTGCTGGGTCCATCCAACGGCAGGGCTGGGCTGGGTCCCTCCAGCCAGGGCCACTCTCCAGGGGCTGGGGGGGGGACAACAGGACAGTCTTGCGGGGTCCCCATCTGTCCTGGAGCCTCTGTGCTGAATCACCCATGGGTTCCTTCCCCTCCTCGGAGGGGCTGGGGTGCTGTGGAGGGCAGGGGGCTCTCGCCCCTCTCGGCCATGGGCAGCCCCTGTGGGGCCCTGGCACGTGGCCGGTCCCGTCCCGCTGTGCAGCATCAGGCTTTGCTGCCTGCCTGCGTTCTGCCTCCTCCATCTGCAGGGCTCCCACCCTGCGTGCCGGGGCTGGGCTCGCTTTGGGGGCCAGGATTTATTTCGGGAGGAGAAATGGGGACAAGAAAGGCCAAAGCGGGCGTGTGGGGAGCAGGGTCCTGCCCCGAGGCCGCATATCCCGGTGGGGGCTGTGGTGGGCGGCAGCATTCGGTGCCATGCAGCACGATGGGAGCGTCGCTTTGGAAATGGGCCCCATCCCTGATGGAGGACCCTGTCCCCCGCATGGCAGCATGTGTGGGGACACAGGACCTCCTGCTGTCACCGGCACTCCAAGGGGGAGCAGATGGGGCTGGGGCCGGGTGAGCAGCAGGCTGGTGGCTCAGGGCAGCCTTGGTTCCCAGCAGGGATCTCGCTGCTTTGGGAATACCCAGGGGGTCCCCAGTCCGCACCTGGGGACAGTGGCTCGGGGCTCCCTGCGTGCGGGCCCTGGTGGGGCAGAGACCACAACACTTGCTCTGCAAATCAGACACCTTTATTTTTTTTTTTTCTTTAAAAGTCAGTTACCGAACTGCAGTGTACTTTATTCCTACGGACGGGCTGGGCTGTCTCTACCACACTATGGGACAGCCCAGCCACAGCTTTACAAGCCCCCAGGCCCAGTCACTGGTGGTGATGCCACGGCTGGCTCTGGCGTTGCCACGGCTGGCTTGGGGGTGCATGTCCCGTTCCCCCCCATCTCCCCCTGTGGCAGCAGCACCATGCCAGGAACAGGCAGCACGGCTGCTCTGAGTCTCCATTTCTGCTCAACGCTTCCCCATCTCGACCCTCCAACACTTTCCCAGTGCCCTCTTGCAAACAACCGAGGTAGGCGAGCATCTCCTCGGGTCCCTTCCCCAAACCTGCCTGGGCTGAAGAGGGCCACGTGGCACTGCCAGGGCATTGCCTTGGCCCTTCAGCCCGGGCTGGGCTTTTTCCTTAAACCCTAACTCATCCTAGGACATTCACTCTTCCGAGACCAAACCCAAACCATGCTGTTACATCCTAACATCAGCGCAATGGAGCAGCCTCCTGCCTGCAGCCACCAGCTGCTCAGAGGCACGGGAGGGCTCTCCCACCCCGACCCCAAGACACGGGGTGCACCCTCCCTCTGGGGGTCACCCGTCGCAGCAGTGGGCTCCCAGGGCCAGCCCTGCACCCGATCAGTGGCCTCCGGGGGTGGCCCCAGCCTGCGTGGGCAGGGGATGCCGGGGCACGGGAAAAGGCACCTGTGGCGGGAGGCGGTGGTGGCTTTGCCTCATGAGGACATGGTGGTGGGGCTGCTGTCCCCAAAAGCTGGGCTGGGCACAGCGTGGCGCTGGTGGACACGGGCTGCCCTGGAGGGACCCGGCTTGTGGCAGCATGATGGCAGCCTGGCACCACCATGGAGAGCTGGGCAGGGGAGTGGCACCGTGGCTGTGCTACCGCGGGTGCCAGTTGATGGACTGGGTTGGTGACAGCAGCCTCGCGTATGGGTGTTCACAGCCCTGCGTCATGCTGTGCCTCTGCCCAGGGGCTCCCGTTGCTCCGCTCCTGGGGATATCTCTGCCATAGCGCATCCCGTGGGGAATGCTGGCTGGGTGGGAACCTCCCCAGAGCAAGTCAAACCAGCACCATCCCCGTCCAGCCATGCTCTGGCCTTCAGCGCTGCCGTCCGCTGGCTCGTCGCCCTCCCGAGCCACCCAGCGGGCGATGGCAGACAGCCTGCACAGGGCTAGGAAAGGCACCCGTCTGCTGCGGGAAGGCTGGGGCTGGTGCGGGGCTGCCTGCAGCTGCCCGGCCAGCGGCAGGGATGTAGTCACGAACGTGGAACGTGCCTCTGCCAGGCAGCAGCAGCGAGCTGCCCGGAGGCAGGGGCCCCAGGCAGCACCCCGGCTGTGCGAGCAGGGACTGGCCAGGCAGCAGACGGGAGGATGGGGCAGCAGGAAGGCAGTGTGAGCTGGTACAGACAGGGCAGGGGCTGGCCAGGTCGCATCCTGTGTGGCAGCCCCCTGCGTGGCAGGGAGAGCTGCTGCGTGGAACAGGGACAGGAAAGGGACCTGCCTCTCAGCCTGGGCAGAGGGGCCCCCAACCCCAGCGCGGGCTGGGGGAGTGGCATGGACGGAGCTGCTGGGGCTGCCTGCCAGCTGGCTGCCACCTACTGCAGTCCCACTAAGAGGGGACCCTGCTGGGCCCCACGGTAGTGTCCAGCTCTGGTTCAAGCAGCTCATCTTCTGAGAAGCTGATGTGCAAGCAGGTGTCATCCGCAGGGGAGAAGGGCAGCGTGCTGTCCATGGGGCTGGCCAGGGTGGCCAAGTCCTTGGCCAGGAGCTCACTGGCTGCAGGGTCATGGATGCTGGCCAGGGGGGACATCTGCCCACTCTCTCCAGTCCTGTCCTTGCCCAGAGCGCGCTGGCAGGTCCCAGCAGGGATAGGCTCTGTGCCGGAGGCAGCGCTCCGCGCGGCAGTCCTTGCCTCAGGGTCCAAGAGGGTGAGCGAGCTGGCAGCGATGCTGGTGAGGCTGGAGATGCTGGGGCTGGGCAAGCTCACGTGGGCAGCGCTCTCGGGCTTCGCCTCCACTTCCAGGCTTGGCGAGGTCTTGCTTGACCTTTTGCGTAGGATGGGTGGTGGCGGGTTGAGCTTGGGAATGGGCTGCTGCCGCCTGGGAACCAAAGGCAGAGAGAGGAGGTGACGGGCAAGTACTTACCTGCACGGCGGTCTTGGGCTGGCTGCCCCAGGCTCTTCAAATGACCTTTGCTGGGTCCCATCAGTGCAGTCCATCGCCTACAAACGTTGGAGCTGGGGTGAAGTGATGTGGCAATGACCATTTCGCAGCAGGGGGACAAGCGCAGGGCAGGCAGTGACCACACAGGGTGACACGGTGGGTTCCTTGGCCCAGCTTATTGCACCTGAGCCAGTGCACAGCCCCGGGCTGCCTGTCCCTGCGTGCCCAGAGCACAACCCTTCCTCCCCAGCCCCTGCTGCAGGCTCTGCTGCCGTGAGCCCCCCAAAACGTGGCCTGTGCAGTGGGAGCCCTGTCGGGGCAGCAGCAGGGAGCGGGAGGGTCTGCTCGGGGTGCTCCCACTCCAGCGGATGGGAGATGGAGGTGGCACGTCCTACCTGTCCTCGTCCCCTCTGTCCGTGTCGTCCACCTTCTGCCGGCTGCTCCCGTTGAGCAGAGTGAACTCGCTGACCTCCGAGCCCTCCACGCGCCGGCTGAGCCCGTCCTGCCCCTCCAGCACAGCCAGGCACTCGTCACCCTCCTTGCTGCCGTAGCGGTGGCCGCCTCTCTCCAGGCTGATGAGGTTGAGGTAGGAGTCCCCGGGGCCCAGGGCTGGCAGCGAGCCGGGGGCCACCGGGCTGCCCAGGATGCTGGCGGGGGTGGAGGTGGACGGGAGGTGGATGTCCAAGCTGTAGTGGTTCTTCAGGTTCAGGGAGAGGGACTGAGCTAGGGACAGGTTTTGCAAGGAGCGGTCAACTGGTGAGAGAGGGACAAGGAGTGTGTGAAGAGCTGGGGACCTCCAACCCAGCTGCTCCCCGGGACTGCGAGGGGTGCAGAGATGCCCCAAAGCCCCCCAGAGCCTGCTGGCATGGTACTGGGAGCACCCCAGCTGCTCCCTGGGACCACGAGGGGTGCAGAGATGCTCTGAAGGGATGGTGCTGGGAGCACCCCAGCACCCAAACAACCCCCACCCTGGTGCAGGGGCCACCATGCTCACCCGGCTGCCGGTGTTGCTCCCGGGCTTCCAGCACCGTCAGCTGCCGCACCAGCAAGGAGACGTGCTGCAGCAGGTCACGGTTGGTCAACAGGAGCTGCCGTACGCGGGCCTGCGCTTCGATCCGTGCCGCCGTTTCGGCCGCCAGTTGGTCCTTCAGCAGCTGCACCTGCGGGATGGGGCGATGCGGGGATGGGGCGATGCAGGATGGGGTGATGCAGAGATGGAGCAAGGCGGGATGGGGTGATGCAGGGTTGGAGCAATGCAGGGCCGGGGTGATGGGGGATGGAGCAATGCGGGATGGGGTGATGCAGGGTTGGAGCAATGCAGGGCCGGGGTGATGGGGGATGGAGCAATGCGGGATGGGGTGATGCAGGGTTGGAGCAATGCAGGGCCGGGGTGATGCAGGGGTGGGGTGATGCAGGGATGGGGCAATGCGGGACGGGGCGATGTGGGGATGGGGCGATGGGGGCTGGGTGATGTGGGGATGGGGCGATGCGGATCCGGGCGATGCTGGATAGGGCGGGGATGGGGCCCGGGCGATGCGGGGATGGGGCTATGCGGAGCCGGGCGATGCGGGGATGGGGCGATGGGACCCGGGCGATGCGGGGGTGGGGAGA